ATTGGTCCTGCTTTGAGCAGGGGGTTGGACTAGATGACCTCCTGAAGTCCCTTCCAACCCTGATCTTCTATGATTCTATGACCCTTAAATGCCCTGCGTAAGAGCTAATATTAATAGTACTAGTGCACAGATGGACCTAAAATAAAATCCCAAGGAAGCCCGAGGAATTCAGATCCTGCCCCAAACTCTAGGGCACTAGTCTCTTCACGGCTGGTTCTGTCTTTTACTTGCCGTGTGAACAGGCCCAGTCCAATGAGACCTGGATCCTGAATGGGACCTCTGGGTGTGACTTTAATAGTAATTAATGAGTGTTTAGATTGAAATCAGAAGCCCCAGGACTGTCTTGTCCTCATCTGGAATGTGCAATGTCCTGTGTCAGTAGCAGGGGATGGGATCCCGGGTAAGTTCACCCTGCCTGGTGTTCGTCAGAGAGGCTGACAGGGAGCCTTGCACTGTCCCACGAATGTTCCTGGGAGAGTGATTCACTGCACAACGGTGAACCAGGCCGAAATTCTTAGCATGCCTGACTGGAGTCATTGCCGTCCCAGTGCTGGTTGCTGCTGTTTCCAGCTCATCTGTGCCTCCGCTGCTGGGATCCTCCCACCCGAGTCTCCACTGGGCACTTGCATCAGCCCTGCTCCCCGCGTCTCACCGCAGCTGGCATCATTCAGACAAGCCCCGATGGCAGGAAAGATGCTGAGACCGCATGCGGTGTTTGCTGCTGGCTCGGAGACCGGCGAGCTAGTTTCGTTCGGAGCAGCACTGGGTGATCTGGGAGGTCTGCACTGCGTTTAGTTCCAGCATGTCGAACAGCTGAGTACCAATGAGCTCTGCAGCCCCCCACTCTGGAGGAAAGACAGACAGACCCGTGCTGGTGGCTCTTGGAAGGCAGCACGGTCCAGGGGATAGAGCACTGGACTAGTAGCCAGAGAAACTGGGGTCTGTTGCCGGCTCAGCTACTGATCTTCTCGCTGCCTCTGTTTCCCCTCCTGCCCTTTGTCTTCTCTAGACTGTAAGCTCTTCGGGGCAGGGACTCTTACTATGTGTTTGTACAGCACCTACCGCCATGGGACACTGTTCTTGGCTGGGGCCTCTCAGGGCCCCAGAACATAACAACCTAGTCATGGCAGTGCTGGGGTAAGGCCTTTTAGATGCAGCACGGGGTGTTTTTCAGGCCATCCCGGGAACACTGAGCCAAGTACCCTGGATACTGCAGACTCCAGACTCTAGCTAGGAGTGGATGGGTCATTACACAAAGTAAAACTATTTCCCCATGCATATTTCCCCCCCTACTGTTACTCACACCTTCTTGTCAACTGTTGGAAATGGGCCATCCTGATTACCACTACAAAAGGTTTTTTTTCCTCTTGCTGATAATAGCTCACCTTAACTGATTACTCTCGTTATAGTGTGTATGGCAACACCCATTTTTTCATATACTCTGTGTACATATATATATCTTTCTACTGTATTTTCCACTGCATGCATCTGATGAAGTGGGTTTTAGCCCATGAAAATTTATGCCCAAATAAATTTGTTAGTCTCTAAGGTGCCACAAGGACTCCTCGTTCTTTTTGCTGATACAGACTAACACGGCTACCGCTCTGATAGCTAGGGCCTGTGTCTCGTCACTACCATCCCATTCCATATCTGTTATAAGAAACATGGCCACAAGGGGGCAGCCAAACCCCAGGCTGGAATGAATCCTCTATGGTGTCCGTGAGAGATGGGGATAATGGATTATCAAGCTGTGAAATCAATCCCGCCGGCCCGGGGTTCTCTTCCTGCCTCTTGCTCCTTTCCCTGGGGGCAACAGGGGCTCTGCATTTCCATCTTCCAAGGTGTCCCTTCCATGTGGCTCGTTCATAGAATCATAGAATTTCAGGGTTGGAAGGGACCTCAGGAGGTCATCTAGTCCAACCCCCTGCTCAAAGCAGGACCAATCCCCAACTAAATCATCCCAGCCAGGGCTTTGTCAAGCCTGACCTTAAAAACCTCTAAGGAAGGAGATTCCACCACCTCTCTAGGGAACCCATTCCAGTGCTTCACCACCCTCCTCGTGAAATAGTGTTTCCTAATATCCAGCCTAAACCTCCCCCACTGCAACTTGAGACCATTACTCCTTGTTCTGTCATCTGCCACCACTGAGAACAGGCTAGATCCATCCTCTTTGGAACCCCCTTTCAGGTAGTTGAAAGCAGCTATCAAACCCCCCCCCCCCCATTCTTCTCTTCTGCAGACTAAACA